TTTTCACCTGATCCTTTAAGTAGCTGAGATTTAGTTGACGGTTCAGTTTGTTCTGTCAGGGAGGGTATTGTCCAAGACGCTGCTCCAAAGTGTAAAGACGCTTGTAAAACCTCACTGGGAGACCAGGGCTTGAACGAGCAGTGCTGTGCAACAACTGTAAATCCTTTTGTTCTTTAATGAGGCTACTTTTTATTATTGTTATTATTTCAGTGTGTCATTATAGTAAATCACAAATTTCATCCAGAAGTCCTCACAGGGCAAATCTCCCACTAAAGTCTGCAGATTCTGCAGAGGCGACAGCAGGGAGGGGATTTCAGGGAGTATTCCTAACTGTTGGAATGTTGCTGGGCTGCAGGCAGGTATATCTGCTGCTGAGCTTCCCTAATGCAGGTAATGCATTTTGGAGAAAAAGCCCTGCAATGTCCTCCCACAGAGAAAATTTGTTTAGGAGTCTAATTAGTTCTCTGCTGTATAGGGGTCACCAAAGTGCATATATTTCATTCGTGCCAAAATGAGAGCCCAGCTGTGATGACTGAAGAAAACAATGGTGAGCCCTAGTGACCCAGAAGGCAGCAGCTCCCACTGCTAATTGTGTCAGGATCCAGCTCAGTTACTGCCTCAATAGCAGCAGCATCAGACATGCCAAATATTCCTTGGCCTGGGAGCCGAGATGCTCCCGGAAACGTTATTTGCAATAGCAACGAGCCCACAGGCTGAGTAAGCTCCTTGGGGATGAAGATCCGTTCATGTGGTTGGAAGCAGAGTGCCCTGACGTCAGAGATGAACTTACTTTCCCAGTGATGAACACCCAGCACGGCAAAGAGCTGCTCTCCCCTCATTCAGGGCACTGCCTGGGGGAACAAGTTGTCACCTCCACCTAGACCATGCAGACTTTCTCTGTGTGGAAGCTGAGGCATGGAGGGGGCATCTTGTCCTATTACTGCACCTTCCAGACAGTGCCAAGGCACACATGGGACCTGGGAACCAATTCTCTAACAGGAATGGTGGCTGGATCTGCCAACTCACAGAGCCAGAGTGAAGGCACAACTTTTGCAGATGGGAAAATCAGCCTTAGAAGGTCTGTTCTGCTCCCTGCATGCTTCCTGACTCTCCTTGATGTTCTCTGCCTTGGGTTTTGTCTGCATGCTTACATGACCATGGACTATGGTCCAATGGACCGTGGTGATGGCTTTTATACTGGTGCCGAACAGATGTCAGTGCACTGAGCAGTGGGGCAGCTTGGAGCCAAGGGTGCAGCTCATGCTGAGACCTCTCCTCACACAACAACCCTGCTCTGGACACCCCGTTTTCAAGCTCCCTCGGGTTCATCTGCATGAGCTACAGTCAGCACTTTCACCTCAGGTATCGCTCAGGCCTTCTAATCAGGGCATGGCATCAAATTCCTGATCGTCTCATGACTTTGGGAACTAGTGACCACTTAAAATCCCCACTGTGATAAACGGTGCCAAATGCTGTTAAAGGTCTTCCAGGCTCCACAGTATCTGCCTAGGCATGAAATTAGCCATGAAAGAAGACAACCTATAGAAGTTTGCTATCACTAATGCACCCATTACTGCCTCCTGCAAGGTCGCTATGCAAACAGGACTGGGGACTTCATCCTTGAAGGGTGAGTCAAGCTCTACCATGTGAGCTGAAGAAAAGGTGCAGCCAAACCTGGGGGACCAACTCTGCTACCCTCAGAGGTGGGGAGGAGTGCCTGTTCCTTGAGTAAATACAAAGATTTCATTACTTAAACTGTTAATGAGCAGTTACTCACTGTAATGCCAGTTCCAATGATGCTACTAACCATGCAGTCCACAATAGAAGTAATCAGAAAGTCATTTTTAGTAATGAATAAATCAAAAGTTTTAGCCAGGAGAGTAAATAGATTGAAAAATTGTTGCCAACACATATATTAGCAAGCAAGCTCTTCCTTACAGATCAATCTTTCAAAGTTAGGAATAACAGTTTCTCAGTGAAGGTGAAGGATGAAGCTAAAAAGATGTTATTCAGAATCATAATCTAAGGCAATGCAAATGCACCTTCACACATAAGAAGTGTCTATATGTTGTAAGTGCTTTGTAGCAACTATTTCTTTTTGCAGAACCTGGATATAAATCGCCTATTATATTTTTTAGCTCCAGAAATATTAAGAGTAAACAATGTCACTGAATACTACATTGGATAATTTCCCTTAAATGTCTGTATTTTACCATATATTTTGAATGGCCATTGGGGCTTTTCAGAAAAAATCATAGTATAAGGAAAGAACTTTATCCTCAAAGAGAGTCCTTTTTTTTTTTTTTGTCTTCCTGTCCATGTCTTACAAAACAAGGGTTACCAATGCATTTTTTAAATGTCTAGAACCTGCATGAATTTCAATTAACCCTGTAAACAAAATTTAAAGATAACTGAACCTGAAACCTGGTAGTGGTGTGTTTTTGTAAACCTTTAATGGTTTTCTAGAAAAAGCAAAATAGAGGAGGTTTCTCAGTGCAGCTGGGGAGCATGATGTCTATTCAGCTTTTTAAACAGATTTGGGGTTGATGTTCTATGTTCCAGGGTGCCAATGGCACTTGGGACTCATTGCCCCTAACTGCAGCCCTCCAGCTCTTAGGTGTCTGCTCTAATCTAATTATCAGTGGAAGGAGATTGGCATCCAGAGGGGCTGATTCATCCTGACCTGACAGATCTCCAAGATAAGGGAGATGAATCACCTCCTGGTACTTCTCTCTTTGTTGGCTATGGGAGGAGTCTAGACAACTTGTTAAGACTAAGTGGCAGATTTATAGATAGACAAAGTTAGGCAAGATGAATTTTGCTGTAAATCAGCAATGAATCCCAGTCCCTTTTCCAAAGTAGCCCAGGTCCAAAGACCCTTACCAAAATAAGAGAGTTTGGTTTGCAGAAAGACCTTCCCTGATCAGTAAAAGCAGAAGAACCCTTCAGAGCCATGGACTGCATAAGTCAGTGGTGAGCAAGAACTGACAGAACTGGCATGTGCACTGCCCTCTATGTCTAGGAGAGGTCCTGATCTTCATGATCATCTTGTGAGCCATTCCCCAAAACATCAACCTCGGTGCTGGACTGAAATCTCCAGCAGTGAGTTGGCATTTCTACATATCCCACATTTGTTGCAGTAGTTAGGAAAAACACCAGGAGTTAACAAAATGAAAAAACACCACAGACAACATCAGAAAACTGGGATTTACCTTCCTCACTGTTTAAGTAAAATAGCTAGAATGTTAAGTAAAATATCCAGGAATTATTCTAACAGAATGGCTTTGCTTAGACAAAGCATAACAACTACTTTCAGGTGACATAATATAAAAGTGACAATAAACAATCAAATCAATTAAACAAACAAACAAAAAACCCAACCCGCCACAGTTCTTCTACTCATGAAGCACTTGTCCGTAACAGAAATGTTGGTGTGACATCCAACATGGAATTGGTGGATGTGGCAACATCCACCTAAGAGTGGCTGGTGGACAGCAAA